TGGGGCAAACAGTCGGAATACCGAGCCAGTGATCGCACCGCCATGACCATGCCGCTAGACCAAGTACCGTACCAAGTTGCACGTGTGCCGCACCAATACCGAACCAGTTACCGTACGGAAATAATGGGTCAGGCTGCAGTATGTTGTCCCAGTACCATGSCAGTGTCGAACCAGTACTGAACCTGCAATAATTGTTTCGAACTGCAGGGGCCTGTTCCGTTGCTGTCAGGTTGTCGTTTCCATGAAACCCTTACCGCTGGCCGTTGTCATACCTCCACCGGTCAGCAGTCCAATGTAGTAACCCGCGGCGAGTACTCAGCACCTCACAACACTCAATCTCCCGCTCACACATTAATATAAGAAGGTTATATCAAGGGTAACATGCAGGGTAAATCAGGTCAGAGTCAGGGAGGGATAATAAATAGTTAATGTCGATGAGAATCGGCGGGGGATAATCAAACAGGGAAAATCCGTTTAGATAAAAAAGAAGAATAAAGTGAAAAATCTCGGTTGAAATCAACAAGGCCGCGATTGATCAGAAAATGTTAAATATTAAAATAATCAGTCGTTTTAGTTCCCTTTTATCGTTTTTAATTTTATTCCTTATTTTTAATTTCATCATCAAATCAGATAAAATTTTAGGTCTCTTTCCTCGCCAACTGGTCAGCGTGGAAAAGGTCGTGCGAAGGCTTATAAGCACACCTTCGCCCCTCGGATGGCTGATTCGAAGATTGCATCCAGCGGCCTAGCTCAGTTGGTAAGGCTCGCAAATGGCATTCAGGAGGTCATGGGTTCAATCCCCATTGGCCTCATGCCTTCCTGGGGTTACTTGGCACCCGCTACCCAAGAGATAGACCACTGGATCCCCCGATMGGCATCAAGCAGAGTCTGMTATGTTCGTAGGGGAGGGGCCTGAGGGGAGGCACGGGGGATTGGTCCGCTTTATCCCTGGTGCTACCGGCCGTCCCCTGGCCGGTATCCTGCAGGCTCGAGGGGCCGTAAAAACACGGCTGTGGTATGCTACGGGTTTCCCCGTATGCCTATAGGTAGGAGTAGTGGTAGGTAGGTAGTGTGAGGGAAAAATTGAGAGAAGAGTATAGTTTATATTAAAAAAACAACAACAAAAGATTGCGTCAGAACAGACGAAAAAAGCAAGCGCCAAGCGAGGTAGAGGTGGCTCACCGGCTGCCCAAGTCATCACATTTAAGGGTTAGTATCAGCAGTCGAAGCGGGGGATTTCAGAGCTCATCTTAGGACCCTTAATTTTCTCCAACAGTTCCGCCAAGAGTACCAGAAGAACCTTATCTGGTCGCTCGGTTGACAGCCCAATTCCTTCCATTTCGGGTGGCCGACTGGTTCGCGGCCACCTGACAGCGGTCTGGGAACATTTGTGCCTCAGAAACTCGGGCTCGGAGGACCTAGGCCTCGAAGAGTCAAGAGGTACAGCCAGATGATTAGGCGAAAAGTCAAGGGGTGAAATATTCTCTCCCCTAAAGAATCAATTCGGGCCCTATAAAGAATCAATTCAGAGTCAGACTCTAGAGTACCTAGGTCTCGAAAAGTCAAGAGGCACGCCCAGATATAGGCAAAAAGTCAAGGGGTGAAAGATTCTCTCCAATAAAGAATCTGACCCTTTCCAAAGCTGGTAAAGGGCCTACCTTCTTCCCCCGAATACAATGTACGGTAATTATAGCTGTATCTAGACTAAAAGATGGCTCAAATTACAGTTATAATGACTGTACGTTGTATTCAGGGGAAGGAGGTAGCTGGCGGTGCGTTTTCTCCAAAATGCATCCACTGAAGCCCTGATCAGCCTTTGCCTCATACCGTGTTTCCCTCCATCAATCTGGGTGACCCGGTGCAATGCATCTCCCCATCAGTTCAATCCGTATTGACTCATTCATTCTGTCACGCGCTTGTGGGAGCGCTGAAGGAGGAAGAACCAGCGGTGTCCAATTCAGCTGGTGTATAGGCAAGGGAGCTTGAGGAGGCCCATTAGTCAGAGCTAGTAATGTCTAGGAGTGGTGGGTAGTAGAGGGGTGAGGTGCTTTAGGTAGGTGTGCGGAGAAATATCCTTATTAGCTTCGGAATATCCTTATAGCTTAATTACCTGAAGGTCAAGGAGACCCATGGCTATAGTCCTTCTGGATAAGCGACCTGTCGGTCCTTGAAAAATTCTCCAGACCAAGTTAAGATATATACCCCTTTGAGCGCCCTCAAAATTGTTTGTACCCCCCAACTCCCTCTGGCCTTTGGGTGAGCGTCCTGCCACCAACTTGGATGATAAGACTGGATTTTCATTCCTCAGGGCACGTGTAATCCAGGTCCAAAGTCTGGACTTCTGTTTTCATTTTGTCTTTGCCCCGGTTTTCGGCTGCCCGATTTTGCGGTGGGGGCCCTCACTCCCTGCCTGACCTGCTCGTTCATGGCAGAGCAGGCAGGTAGCCTACTTGTAACGTACTGAAAATGTGGTTATTTGTTTTTTTATTACAATTTGGACTTCTGTTTCCGTTTTATCTTTGCCCCGGTTGTGAGCTGCCCGATTTTGCAGTGGGGGCCCTCACTACCTGCCTGACCTGCTCGTTCATTGCAGAGCAGGCAGGTAGCCTGCGTGTAACGTATTGATGTGGTTATTTGTTTTTTTATTACAATTTTTCAACCTCCCTTGAAGCTCACCACTCTACCCCCCGCCCCCCCCCAACATACCTTCAGACCCGCAAGTTCTTCCCCCCCCCCCGCTTTCTTGGATGCTCCTTTTGATATTCCCTGTTACCTCCATGGTGGGTGAATAGCATCTTGCGACTCTCTTCAACACTCCTGTCTGTTTCTGCCAGTGTGAGAGCGTCTTGCAACTCCTCTTGACATTGCCTGTGGCGATCCCCTTGCATGTAAAAGTATATCTATTAACGAATAATACTCCTTTGACCAGGTAAGTTGGGATCAAGGTGAAGCGTTTTGGACAAACGAAAATTCAATTGGACAATCATCAAACCGAATTGGTCAGTTCGACTTTCCTATTTAGTACATTATCGGAACCGATTTGGACAGCCGATATAGGTTCGGAGAAGTATTGAACATTTTGGACATATCAGATTTAGGTTGGGAGAAACGATGAGCATTTTGGACATACTGGATATAGGTTGGGATAAATGATTACCATTTTGGACAAAATGATTTAACAGTTTGGACGCATGACGGAGTTAGGCAGATTGATTTAACAAATTAGTATTGCCAATACCACATTTAGTTCAACAGTCATCCGATTTGAGATTCTGCGCACACCATCGGGACCAACAAAGATATCACATTAGTGGAATCGATTTTGCATGTTAGTCACATGCGTCTGGATCACGGGCCTGCAGCTCCCGTAAACTATCGACCGAGGTGGACGTGCGCAGCACACACGTGAGTGACGCACAATTTTCTGTGGGCCTACCAATTTATGCGCTCGTCAGTCTAAATCGTTCGATCCTTTGACGAAAGGCACAGTGGGTCTGTCCTAGTTTCTAGAATACCTGTCCATATCGATTCACAAGGTGCCCAATTCTAATCTACGGTTCCAAGAAGCTTCTACAAAAATCTAAAACGTTTGGACTACACGCCCGATTCCAATCTACCGGTCCAAGAATCTTCCACCGAATTCAAAATCGGTTCGCCGTTTCTCTAACTTTGGCCCGTTCACCTAATTTGATAAATAGAAAATCCAATACGGTATTGTTTTTGGTGAGAACCCGGTAGGGCCTGCCCATTTCGGTTCACGAGATGTCCAAATAGCGGCAGTATGCATCTAACTTACCTGGTCAAAGGAGTAATTAACGGTTATTAACCCCAATTGGGATACCCCCTCTCCCTTGACTTGCAAATGGGTCATCTTTCAGTTCTCCATAACCCCCCCCCGCCCCTCCCCCCTCTTTCTCTACCGGACCCCTGCTTGTCTGAACCATCTGGCAGCCATCTTAGTGCTCTCTACCCCCCTGCCTGCAATGTGTGCGATGCATCCGGCCACACCATCCGTTTTTTAACAAAGGGTGATGTTCTCGAAAAATATCATCGTTTTACTGATCAGCCCCAGGTTATTAAGAAGAATTTTGATTTTAGCTTAGTTTGAACTTTGAACTTGGCTCGACTTATGTGGCACGCGGCCTTAAATGCGTGTGATGTTTATTTCACCCCCTCCTACCCGTGCGTGAGAGGTTTCTTGCCCCCTTCAACAGTTCCTGGTTGTACTGACTGAGCTAGGCGTGTTGGTTTAAACTGGCCATGGGTGTACCAACTTCCACCCCCTCTTACCCGTGCGTGAGAGGCATCTTGCACACCCCTGTGGCATGCGGCCTCTTCCTCACTTTCTAGCACCTATGTGGTGGTGTCAAACTTTGATGTTGTTTGTCCTTGTGTAGGAGGAACATGATTACGATGTGCACTTGCGTCTAGGTGTCGAGTATAAGCACATGTGCCCGCATAATGGGAAATTATCTCCTCTTGCCGAGGCAGGCTTGTGAGCAAATGCTTGTGAGTTCTTCTCATTCCATGTGCTTGTGGTGGTCTGTTTCCGTGCCTCTTGCATGCTTAAAATTTTGTGCATGGGCCTGCCAATGTCCGAGCAGTTTCTATCACTATATCCCAACAGCACGAGGCTGCGTCTCAGTCAATTGCATAATGGGAAATTATCTCCTCTTGCAGGGGCAGGGTTTTGAGCAAATGGTTGTGTGTTCTTCTCATTCCTTGTGTTTGTGGTGGTCTGTTTGCATGCCTCTTGCATGCTTAAAATTTTGTGTGTGGGCCTGCCAATGTCCGATCAGTTTCTATCACTATCCCAACAGCACGAGGCTGCGTCTCAGTGAATTCCATAATCCATAATGGGAAATTTTCTTCTCTTGCAGGGGCAGGGTTTTGAGCAAATGCTTGTGTGTTTTTTCTTCTCATTCCTTGTGCTTGTGGTCTGTTTGCATGCCTATTGCATGATTAAAATTTTGTGCATGGGCCTGCCAATGTTCGAGCAGTTTCTATCACTATCCCGATAGCACGAGGCTGCGTCTCAGTCAATTGCTGGTTCTACCCCCCTTCCAAGGCCAGGGTTACGGCAGAGCAATGCTAAATGCTGTCAACAAGCTTTCTATTTCAAGGGGCTGCTATGACGTCACAGTTGAAGATCCGACAGATGAGTTTCAATGGTATGCTCTGCATGCTCTGGCTTCTCTTTCTGCTTGGTTATGGGCACATTTGTGGCTCTTTGCTGTTTTTTGTCCCGCACGGTACTATGCTTAATGCCAAAAGTTTGGGTGACATACTGGAGTACGAATATGACCTCAGTAGTCTATATCCTTGTCTGAGATTCCCTCTGCCTTGTGCATTGTGGTGTTAGCCTGTTAGGTGCTGCTATGTCAGCAAAGTGCCATGACCAACTGCTTTGACAGAAATTCTCCGTTGCTCCGAAATCGTCTATATCAGGTCCTGATGTGTAAACTGTGTGGTTCCTTTTCGACTGGCAAGTCGCGAAATAAATACAATGGGAAAACTAGGGCGCTGCTATGGTTTCAGTTTGAAAATGCGTTTCAGTCACGATTTCGCAAATGTTGTGTCAAACCGAGGAAATCGTGAATGTATACAACCCAGCTTTAGGGTCGGGTGGGGATGTGTTGTATTCGAGGGATGCCTGAACTGGGATTTAGAATAGAAATCGTGACTGCGCCCTAGTTACCCCAAATACAATTTATGAAGAGCAATGCTGTCGGTCATTAAGGCTATGGGACCCCAGCCCCTCACAGGACAGTTTGTTTCCAATCTGCTCACTTCTGGCCCGAGTCTGCAACTTTGTGATTCCCTCCTGTACGTAGCCTTGCCTGGCGTCTGTGTACTACACACTTTGCCTCCCTACCCGTCTTTCCCCGAATGGAAGGTGCGGTCGTTCTCTCTGTGTGGATGCTTCAAGTTTCCCCAAATGCAGCAGCTGCTATAATGACTTAACGTTCTATTCGGTGGAAGACGGTAGTGGCATGTCACCCTTGCACTCCTGTCTCAAATAAGCTCTTCTGGTTGTTGGACACGCCTGCTCGGCAAACTGGGGTCCGAGGTCTGCTGTTTGCAGACTGGGTCTCTGGGTCCATTCGCGGCCAATCCGTATGCCCCCGACACCTGCATCCTCCTCATTTGTGGTGTGCTCTTCTGATCCTCTGGTGGGAGGATGTTGAGCTTGAGACAAATTCCAAGTCCAAGTAGTTAGTCAGATCTGAACAGGGTGTACAGGGCAGCATTTGAGCACTTTTCAACATTCATATCGTTTCTTTTAAACTTTCTTAGGAATGTACGTGGTTATCAGCTTGGTGTCAGGCAAACCACTGCTCTCTTAACAGAGAGAAAGATGCCTGGCATTCACGAAGGACCCTATGGTCTAACTGGGAGGGAGATTAGTGGTGAAAATAATGCATCCAAACGGAAGGAAGGTGAAAATTAAATAATGTATCCAACAGAGAGTTGCTGACCTGTTGTCACCCTGCTTCTGATGAGGGATGTTTTTTTCCACAGCTGTTTCCAGTGCCTCAGACAAAAGGCCTATCCAAATGGAAGAAGGGAACTTGTGCAGTTTTTTTTCATATTGCCGGTGATAAGCAACCGGACTGATGCCCCCCAGAATAGAAGGGGCTGGTGTTAAACCACTACCGTCTTCACCGGAATAGAACGGCCGGTAATTATCGCCGTATCTGGGCTGAAAGTTGTGCCAAATACTGCTGTAATGACCGGGCGTTCTATTCGGGGGAAGAAAGTAGTACCTTTGTCGGTTCGGAAAATAGTGGGCCTCCGACCGTTCAGGAGGCCGAAACGAAACGATGGCCGCCGATCAGATTTATCAACAGCAGCCGTTGTCGGGCCCGGCCTCCTAAAAGTTTTGTGAATAGGCAAAAACTTGCCGAAATGAAACGGCGAAGGTACTAGTGGTTTTGAAAAAAAAAAAGAATTAAAAAAAAAAAAAACTGCATCCCTCATTTTCATGCCCGTCTTGCGCTTCCCATCATTATGCTGCCGCTCACTGTCAGGGAAACCAGAAATATATGGCTCTACCGTCTTCACCCGAATAGTTCGCATGGTCATTATAGCTGCATGTGGACTGAAAGTTGCCCCAAATGCAACTATAATGACCCGGCATTCTATTCGGGTGAAGATGGTAGCCATGCAGTTTGATAAAGATAGGAGTTAAGAGAGAACATGGCAGGAAGGAAAAGGAAGAAGAACACGAACAAAAGAAAAAAGAAAAGGCTCATAGTGAGCATTGTCTTTTTGTTTTCTTTTTCATTTTACTTTTCACAGGTAACCTGAGGTAGGGAGCAACAGTACTGTCTGGGCTCCTGTGTGAACCACCTCCTTACTGTTCTTTTTCCTTTGCTTCCTTCGGTTCTCTCGTCTCGTCCACTTTATGCTGCTGCTTCCTATGCTCAAACATCAGGCATGGTCCTTCCTTACCCTGAACTAGAATTGCGAACAGGGAGATCGGTTGTTGTACCGTCTGCCGTCCCTTCTGGTGTCGTCATTGGACATCTGCGCGACTATCATTGCTATCTCAACCTCCCATGCCGTCCATGTGATGCCTGTGATTATGTTGTACACTAATTGCTATAACAGGTTGGGATCCATAACTTATAATAAATCACCATCTCATCCATTCCCATTCCCATGACTCCACCCCTCATTGCTCACCATTCTTTTACTGCCATGGGCAGCGCGGCTCTGCAATGGCTGTGGCCATGGCATCATAGTGCTGTCAGCCAGCAGCTAGAGCCGTACTAGTGGTGTGCTGCTAGGAGAAGCTGATACCAATGAATCAGGAGTCATCAGTCTGGACTCTGGATCGATAGCAGTAGTCAAATCAAACATCAAAGACGTTCAAAACATCGAAGACGCTCGAACAGCAAAGCATTGAAATGAGTTATTGCGAACAGCAAAGCAAAGAGTAACACACAGGATAGCATCCCCGACGCGTTTCGATGGCCGCTGCCATCTCTTCAGGGGGTTCTCCACCTCCTTCCCCACACTACCGTAGTCAAACTTCCCGAACCATCCCTCTTCGGTCCTTCTCTGCGGCCGGTCTCCGGAGACCGACGGCAGACCAACGGTCGTTAGTCCTGAGAAACAGTACTCAACCAATGCTAATATAGTCCTAACCTACGAGTCCAAAGCTACACAGTATCAATTTGAAAAACAGAGCACACTACCGGTCCCAAGCGGGGCCGTTCCCTGGTTCCCGGAAAGGGGCTCTGCTATAACTGACCCTAGCTCAGATCAGAAACCCAACGAAAAAAATCCAACGAGCCCGGGCTCAGGTCCCAGAAACAAAGAAAGGACCAGGTGGGCCTAGTCTGAGGAAAAAGGACTACATAATTCAAAGAGGTAACCTGTCCTCACATTTTATGTGGACCTGTTGAATCGATAACCAGCAGCAGAAACCAAGGAGTCATTCTTTTTCTTTTCTTTTTTCCCCTTCTTCCATTTCTCGATTTATGTGTGTCATCCTTGCACAGGAGCCATGCTAATCTTATCTCTCTGTATCGTTCCAATTCAAAAGGATGTCCTGAAGGACTACCAAGGAGCCATTTTATTCTGGTTTTTATTTACACAAGTGGACCCCGCCACGACTACGCCGTGGCGCACAGCAACACTCGCTGATGGCCTCTTTTCTTTCATGTCTCTCTCTCTCTCTCTCTCTCTCTCTCTCTCTCTCTCTCTCTCTCTCTCTCTCTCTCTCTCT